GTATTTGTGCTTATTCAATAAAAAAAAATATAGTGCCATATTCTCTTTGCTTAACATCAGTGAGTTTTCACATGCAAAATTAACTATTGTTCAGCGCCACGAAAATATTATTTGAACTTAGACACAGGGGCCACAGAAATTAAATAGAATAATAATATATTAAATGTATTGCAGATACATTATATACTATCTTTAAAGTAAACTTCTGTTTATTACATGTTATAAATGGCCCCTTTAGAAGTGTTACTGTATAACACATGTGTCATACGTGGCAGTCACGTGTTAAAAACCTGCGACGTTTAAATTAATACAGTAGCCTTCGTTATATCGTATACAGTATTTGGATATATTCCGAACTTTTTTGTCACTCAAATTTTAAAATTTATTGACTTAAGTGCTTTTAAAATTTGGGAGAAAAAAAATGCGGTATATCCGAATCCGCGATATAACGGGGGACTACTGTAATATAATTTTTTTCAAATTATGTAGTTACATATCTGTTTTAATAGTTATAAATCTTGTTAGTTTTATTATTAACATGATTTATAGTGGTTAAATTCTCAAAAATTTAAGCCTCGATTGTTAAAAACAGCGCTAAATCTCTTTGCATTCATTCTAAAGTTTAATTTTTTTATTACTGAATAATTGCATTACATTACAATGTCTCCGCTATTACTTATGTTTATATCTAACATTTATTTTACATGATTCGGGAATTTCATTAAAGATGCTTCTTCATCTAATATAGAGAATAGGAATTTCCCAGAATTAGATAAAGAATTTTAAAACATTTCGTAACATCTGTCCCTATTCTCAAGATAAATATAGTTAAAAAGAATTTGAGATATAAAAAATTGTGTTGTGTGGTTTTGCTTTGAAATAAATTCTTTATCCTTCATTTTCATTTTAATTAAATAACGGATATAATTACGAGTGCTATGTCATTATAATTTGAAATCCCTAGTCAAGGTTAATTTTTCATTTCCCTATTTATATATTTGAACGATATATATATAATAATGTGGCATTTTTCCAATTTTTGTTCGCATAATAATAATTTTTAGAAAAAAATAAATGTATATTTATTTATTTTTATTTTTCAAAAGTAAATATAGAAATATATGGAGAAATAGGGTAAAAATAAATAAAAATATGCTATTAATATGTAGAATTCTAGACTTTTTTATTTATTAGCATGTTAATTATCTATTAATTTTTGCTAATAAAGTTATGTAATTATCTTGTTTTCTTCTTCGTTTTAAATAAATAAAAAGAAGTTTAAAGAGCTAAAAGTTAAAGAAACGTTATTTAACTCTTTTTACTTTGAAAATAATTACAGATATACGGAAACTATTGCTCTAAAAAAATCAGTTCGTCATCTGCTAGGGCCTACTGCCAAAACTAACGAAGATCAACACCTGCTTACATCTCTTTTCCTATTATGCCTATATACTGTACTGTACAGTATTATTGTGCACTTGAATATGTGAGTCAATTTGTCTTATTTATAGAATGGATATATTGAATTTATATAAAAAAAGTTAATATTAATTCATAGTAATAATTTTTAGTTATAGGTTTGTCGTCAGAATAACAAACACTATATTTTTTAAACGTATTAATTAAATATTTACTTAAATAAATTATTTGTTTTATTTTCTCTAATTTGCTTGTTGAAATAAAGAAAATTATTTTCTAATTATATTAACGAAAAAAAAAATTATAGAATTTTAAGTAAATAACCATCTAAAAGGATTGTCGTGTAATTTCATTAATTATCATTATATTAACTGTTACAATTAACAAAGTTTTAAAATTATTACACTAAATAAACCAACTTTTATCACTTTAAAAGCATAATAAAACAATTTAAAGCATAATAAAAGAATTTAAATTAATATTAAATATTTAGTATATTTATATTTAATTTAGGTTAAGGTGATCCAAAATATAACTTATAAAATAATAATTACTGATATATAATAACTGGAATTATTACATATAACTTTGTTTATATATAAGAATAAATAAAAAATATATAATTTTTATTATGTGTTTAAATATCATATCGTTATATGTATAAATTATTATATCTGTTATATATAACAATTTATTGTATATTATAAATGGCTTATAACAATTAAACAAATATTATTATATATGACAATACATAAAAAAACTAAATAAATTTTTTACAATAATTAATATATGTAATGATCTTTATATTTCTATGCAAAATTTTACTTAAAGTTTTAGAATTTTGATTTATTTCTAGTTTTATCTATAAATTTATTTTATTTTTTTAATTGTTTTTTACTTTTTACTCTTTATTTTATACATAAATCGTAAATATTGGTCTTGAAATTTCGTACTTTTATGCTAATACGATTTTAAATGAGACATTACGATATTATTATTATTATTAAGAACTTTTTTATTTTCAAAAATATTTTATAAAATTTATAAACAAATAAATTACACCTTTATATGTTTATAGGATATTAGTATACTTTCTAAGTAAGTTTTTTGCGTACAAAGACAATTATGTTTATTCAATAAAAGTTGTTTGTTTTCACAATGTTTTAAATTATGTTGATGCGTATTCATATAAAATGATTAGATCTAACCTGTATAAAATCTATCATTAATAGATTAAAAAGGTAAACTATATTTTTTATAAACTATTGGAATTTATAATTTNGTTCACGTATATTGATGTACAGTATATATGCATATAATATATTAATACGTATATTCACTATGCATGTATATAATGTTATAAATATTTTGATATCTCTTTCAATTTGAATAAATTATAAATTAGTAGTAATTCAAACACAAATTATTATTGTATTTATTTTCAGGCACTTGGCAATTTTTATCATCAAATTTTATTTAGTTTTAGTCAACTAAATAAAATTTGATGATAAAAATTGCCAAGTGCCTGAAAATAAATACAATAATAATTTGTGTTTGAATTACTACTAATTTATAATTTATTCAAATTGAAAGAGATATCAAAATATTTATAACATTATATACATGCATAGTGAATATACGTATTAATATATTATATGCATATATACTGTACATCAATATACGTGAACGGCTCGCCAAATCACATTCACTTACAACTCTATCTTTTTTTTCAGAATTTATAAAATCCTAATTATTTGTGACGGTTGCTTAATGAAATTTCCAAGAACTAAGAGAATTTTCAATATTAAGTAATTTATTTTGTTACTTATTTTTATTTCCATTTCACTATTATGACATAAGTTTATGACTAAACAAAATAAATTAAATGATGCAGTCAATACGTAACATCTACATTAGAAGGTTTCCTGCCAGTAAATTTATATAATTCTTCGATATATTTTTGAGAAAGTTTAATTTAAATTGTGCATTTTTTTTTAATTATTAGATGTCGATAATTGTAGCATGCTGAAACTTTTATTTTGGCATTTGGCATTACTTGATAAATTTTGAATCAAAAATCAAAATAACTTTTCATTACATTTTCTGTTTTTTAACAATTTTAAAAGATTTTTTTATAGAAAATTAAACGTTTAAATATTTTAAAACTTTTATATAATTTTCAACAGAGCATTTAACTTATGTATTGAATAAAAGAGTACAAACAGTTTATGTTGAAACATTAGCATGAGCCTCAGTTAATAATGGACTTGGTTCAACGAAGTGAGGAAGACTTTATGGGGTCGAATCGATTCGTCAGACTAAAACAAATTAAAAAATAAATAATTTATAAGCGAATGCGCGCTTGTTTTATTTTCGCAAACTTTCAGAAGTGTTGTTTATCCATGAGAACAATTTTGTTATCTTCCGTTCATCTGACTAAAACGCTGTACTGTACGTCTTTTAAAGTTAAGTGAAACAATGAAGGATGAATTTACTTACCTATAAATGCTTTAACATGGCTCGAATGTAGAGACGGTGATTAACGTTGTTTAATTTTAGCTTCTCTCGACCGAGATGCGCTCCAACTACTATGATTTCCTCGATAACCGCTAGGGGTTGAGTGACATTCACGTGGTTATGTATGGAAACTAAATCTTATCAAACACGTGGTTTTGCTTGTTGATTTCAATATCTTAATGGAATTGTCCGATTCTATATTAATTATTGAAGATCATTCAATGCAATGAACTCCCAGTCGAAACACTTTCATTTTCTTTCTCTCATCGCCGTGAAAAACCAGTTTAAGTGGCCTTGAACCCGCCTTTAGACGACTGGATGTAGGCTCTAAGAATTTTATTTTATTTACATTCTAACCAATCATCTAATAATAATGTAACATGCACGTTTTAAACCATTTCGGTATATAAAGTAGCATGGAAATTTATTATATGTGTATGTTAGATGAGTTAGATATATCGAAAATTTTTACAGAATGATTAGATATTTTATCATTTGTATTTTTTCCCGTAGCTTATTCTTAGTTTTGTAGATTATAAATTATGGTTACGAATGAAAAAATTACTCTTTAAACTTTAATATAAACATATATTGATTCCTTTGTTATAGTGTAGTGAAAATATTTTATATATGATATTTCATAATGATTTTTCGGTATATTATTACTTAAACAATAGGAAAATTATATTTAATAAGCATTTCTGATGTTTAAATGTTAAATTACATCTTTTTAATATAAACTTTTTAAAAATATCAATAGTATTTTCACGTTTTTTAAAATACTTTAAACAAATATTACTGTAATAAAATTTAATGTTTTAATACTTAATCGTAAGATTAATATTATAAATATAAAATGAGATTGTATATTCATCACATACTACATANTCCTTGTATAAAGTCATCACGATAGATTTTATTTTCATTATCCTGTAGATACAAAACAAATGTATATTTTAATTAGAAAATATTCTTAATTTAAATTGAACACTTCCAATTGATTGAGATTAAAAATTTAAATACCTTATCAAATTCTTCAAAGACAGAATTAATTATAAATTCAGCTTTTTTCTTATACTGTCGTTCGTTGGCTTCTCTCCAACGATAAATCCCTTTCACTACATTCAACATGTCCTCTTTGCTAATTATCCCATCGTTGTTGATGTCGTATAGTTTAAATGCCACTGCAATAATAATTTACTATTATAACAGAGACAGAATAGAGAGTCAATTTGTGAAAAATCATTCTATATGAACTTTAGTGGTGGTCAAATATTCGAATTATGCCAATTATATGATTCATTATCGATCGAAGCTTGCTTAAGAATACTAACCTGGTATAGCTTTTTTATAAGTTTACTTCAAAATTATATTTATATCGAATTAAAATTATATAAATTAGGAGATAGTTTATTTATCTCTGTATTTAATAAGAATTAATTAAATAAAATTTAAAATTGTTCTTTTTCAACCTTAATAAAGTTCGATAAAATGCATTTATCTTAAGCTAAGCTATACACCTTTTTTTAAATATAATATTCATTATTAAAAAAACTCCAGCAAAGAGTTGCTTAACTTTTCCGGCAACATTTGGTGGCGCCATCTGTTATGATATTTTGTTTAAAAAACTTTTTATGTTATTAACTATCATAAAATGGCAAAAAACCTTACTTTTGAGGGTAGGGATGGATTTTATAAAAAAAAAATTGTAAATGCTAATAACGAATAAAATCGTCATTAAGTTCGACCCTACTAGAGATATGACCCCCTTTTATCTCTCCACCCTCTCGACCTTTACTCACAAAAATTTAATAGCATCAATCCCCCTAATAAACAAACCTTCCCGCAAAATTTCAGAAAATTTTAACAAAAAGTACAGGAATAGGCTTCAACAGGGTGAACAAAATCGTCCCCCCACACACGCTAACATCCATAAATACAGAAATTACTCCCGATTTTTTTTTTATCTTTGTGTGTAATTTTTGACCGTCATACTTTCCTTCTGTTATATATAGCAGTCTGGAAAGTAAAAAATCATATTTCAGATTCTTTATTAATATATAACGTCGGTTCAAAAATTTCAAATATTCAATTAATTAATCGTTTTGAAACACATTACTCAAAGGAAAAAAAATTAGTCGTAAATGCAAAAATGTTTATAGCAAATTTTGATTTAAACTAACAAGTGGAGATCATTACAGTTTTCAATGATTTGTTTGTGTAGATAAGCATTAGTATGAACCTTTATTGAGCAAAGGGAGACAACGTGCTTCTCAAACGTTTTAAGATAATCGAAGTTAAAATATCCCGAGCGATTTATAAGTATGCATTGTTTAATATTTAAGTGAAGATATCTTAGTTCGGCAGCAGTATACCTCACTACTAATTGCAAGATCTTTGGTTTGAGTCTCTATGAGTAAACATTTTTTTTCGAATCAATGCAATTTTTACATAAAATATTTGCAAACTATATAAGTTTATACATTTTGTTTTTATATTTTTTATTAAAAACATCTATTTCGTCTATTTTTAAAATTCGTTTTCGGAATCGTTTAAAATAAATTTAAAAGTTTGTTTTTAAAACTAGAATCATTAATAATCTTAGAGTTTATGATTTTATTATTCTTACTTCATTTTTTTATTATTTATTCATTTTTTATTCTTACTTCATATACTTATTCATTTTTACTATATGCTTATATAAAAATGAAAATATGTTGTAAACAATAAGAAATCTGATGAGTGACATTGAAAAATGATTGTTTACTGTCATACATAACAATTCAATTTGATATTGGGAGTTAATTATAACTAATAATTTTTTTGAGTTTATTTACTTGCTTAAAGTATCAAATTATTCATAGTAGTCTTGCATTCCCAAATTTAAACTTTAATTTTTTTAACAGACAATTTTTCGAAAACGAATTTTCAAAAAACAAAGAAAATGCGCATTATTAATAGAAAATGAATAGACAAAATATATAAGCTCGTGTAATTACAAATATTTTAACTTCGATTTTCTTGAAAACGTTTGAGAAGCGCACTTTCTTCTTTTGCTCAATAAAGGTTCGTGCCAAGGCTTATCCATACAAACAATATCATCGAAACTGCGATTACCACGTCGTGACCTCTTCTTGTAAGATAAACTTTGTTCATACTAATTAACGAAAACATCAGAAAATTACTATATGAACTTTTATGTAAATTGTATGTAAGCTTACGAATGTTACGGTTTAAGTATAAATCTGAAATATACTCTCATTCCATTACATTTCTTTTGAACAAACTGAATGGATGAAAGAACTATATAATTTTAAATTTTTTGTTTTATATTTTTATTTTATGACATTACTAACATTTTCTTCCATTTAATCTAAATGTCTCTTTGGTTACATGTTAGACTAGAAGTAAAATACACCTAGTTCTCGTTTTATACGTTCTCCATTTACATTTTGTCAGAACTATTTACACTATCAAGAACATAACTCTTCGCAGAATTATGCAAACATTTTCATATATACTCGATTTGGGGATAAAATAGGAAATTACTTTTGCGAGTTTCTTAATTGAGGAGGAGCGTCAGCGTAGCCGCTTATATTTAGCTTACAGAATTGTGTTCTTCCTCAAAAAATGATTGATAACTTTTGATCAAAATTTACCATTTTCCATTAATTTAAGTGTGACGAGGAATTTAAAAAAGTAATTAAAAAGTGGTGGTTTATGAGTTCGTTTTCGAGTTACAGTGGGGTCAAAGTGACAATGTCAATTCTCCCTGACACGATTGAGCTCTTCTAATGAAATTTATGGGCCAAAAAAACAGCTTTGCATATACCTAACGGAAAATTGGCAGCAAGTGTAAGGATCGCCTCTCTGTGGTCACAAATGTAAGGATTGGATTGCCTTCTTGTGCGGCCAGCAACATTTTCTTCTGATCACACACACATACACGCACGCCCTTAAATGCACGTGTCAGCGCTCGGGTTAGATGGAGCGGAAGATAATTTATATGTACTAATACTAATATTAAAAGTTTTAATTAAAAAAGCGGCAACGCTAAGGCTCAGTTCTATTGCAATAAATCAAAGTTAGTGATGTCCCTCGTTTATATTGTTCGAGTACTAACTTAAGTTTTTAAATTTCTTTGGGATGTTTAAACATCAAGTGTACTCACACAGTATTTTTAATGAATATAGTCTTCAATTCTTTATCGAGTACAATGTTTTAATACTTTCGATTATTATGGTTCTTAATAGTTAGTACATACAGCCTTTTATTAAAACATATAGTTAATTTCTCTAATTGAAATACTATATATATATATATATATATCATTACCAGTTTACAAAAAATTTCCATTAAAATTCAACAAATTCTGAAGAATGCAAACAAAATTATGACAAAATTATGAGGTACATAATTGTTTTAGAAATATGAGTAAAAAAGTTCTTTTCGAGTTATATGCGATTAAAAACTCGTGACGTCATTTCCTGTTTAGCGAAAACAACGTTTAACCTCTGATGGTTTGATACCCTTCATTTATTAACGGCAATATTAATTTATTATTTGAATTTACCCGCTTTCAGACGTTATTATTTTGAAATTTTAGACCGTTTGACCCTGTTCAGTAATGTCTATAAAAGCTTTGATAGCTTACTAACGAATTCTTCCCTTATAGCCAGTATTGTTACAAAAAAGGGTCAAAATTCAAATAATAAATCAATATTGTATTGCAGATATATAAATGATAGATATCAAACTAACATGCAATTATTAACATATATTTTCATACATCAGAAATCGTTTTTCACTGAACAGAAAATGACAAGATTTCCTTAATAACTTATAACTTAAAAAGAACGCTTCAAATCAAAAAATGGAACTAGAGTATTCAACTTAAAATTAACCTCTCTGTAATATCTCCATTTTTTACACACATTTCTGAAACACTCTGTATATCATCATTTCAGCTGCCCTGTAACTTCTCTCTTTCATTTTTCCTCCTTTCTATCTAGCGAATATAACTACGCTAATAATATCCTTATTAACCTTAAAACGCATTTCTAGAGCATTGTTTTATAAGCTAAGTACAGTAGGTTCTCAATTTAACGGACTTCGAACTTAAAAGATTAACAGATGTTTTAGTAGCTTGTATAAATTGCTCAATATACACCATTATAGTAATATTTTATTAATGCTTACGTTAGTTAAGTTCGTTATTTATATAGGCTAAGTTGTTTTTAAAACACATTCACTTTAACAGGCTTTCGCTTCTAGCGAACACCTCTTCACTCAATTAAAAATACTTTGTTAAATTGAGATAATTCTGTATTTTTTACCTTACTCGATAACATTAATAAATTTCTAAATAATTTTTGTCAGTCATGATACAGTACTTGCTGTAATTCACTAGAAAAGAAACGATTTTTTCAACCCTGGTGTAAAGTATTGACCTTTTAGCAGAGTGGGAACAAAAGAGACGCGACCTTGTCAATTGGACCCACGTGCGGTGGGTAATACCACTTGTAAGGTGTTCACTTGTAAGCAGAGGGAAAACAAAGGAAGCGCCGGCTTTGTCAATTGGGCCCACCTGTAGTCAGACGTTGGATCATTTGCCATATGGTAAACAACTGAGTAAATAAGTGGCGGACGTTTATGTAAGCTTCACTCTCGTCGGATGACGGCGGACCCGAATGTAAGCTGTTCGGGCAAGAAGGGGTTGTGATTGGTCGGAAGTCCCCGTCCAAAAAATCCTTAAATTGCGGGGCGAACGAGAGAGGAGGAGAGAAGGGCAAGAGACTGGTACACGGTAGTCTCAGGCACTTGGAAGGTCCGCTGAGCGTAGAGAGAGTGTTCTCCTCGGGTAAACATCTCAGGGACGAGTTAGTGCGGAGACTGGACGGACCGTGCAGTTGAGCCAACTCCACGAGCTGACTGAGGCCTCTTCAAAGTTTAAAGTTCCCAGAAATCAATTTAGTACGTGAGTCACCACGCATTGTTATCCTGTATATATGTATTATGTTTTCGAATTTGTACCTTCTACATATAGAATCTGTAAATAAACTGTAAATATTATCAATTTGAGTGTGGAGGCGTGCTTTCCATCGAACCTGGATCACTACATCGAATCGTGATACACACGGAAACCAACTCAACGAGACGGAGTTGGGAAAGAACTTCACTAAGATCTTCACTTCTGGTTTTATCTTAATTCGCTGTTAAATGCAAGCTATTACATGCTCAATCTATTTTTAAATTGATTTTTCGGCACCTTATGAGGGCGGGAATTTTCTGGAACGATCTGCATTAAAATATGAGTATGTAAATATTTAAATAGCCCTCTTTGAAAGTTGTCAATTTGTGCAGTTATTTTCAAAAACAACCTATTACTGCGTTATTACGGAAACTAGCTAGGTATATAAGTTTAAATTTTAAAACTAATTACTTTCTTCAAATAAATAAGTCTGGATACTCTGTATATCTAAAATTTATGTAACAAGCTGTTAAGTTTTTGTTATAAAATAAGAATTAGAAGCAAACATTTCTAAATGATTGTTTGAAGTATTCACTAGTTTTGTACATTTACTTTCAGCCCTATTGTTAAAAGTAAATGTGCAAATATATATTAAAATTATAACATTTGATAAAAGCGTTAAAATTACTCTAACTATTATGTATGTATGTATAGTACAAGTACACTGCATATACTATGTGTATGCAAAATGAATCAAAAATTAGCACGATTGATTGAAAACAAATTTCACCATACTGTCTCCAAAACTATTCATTCAACTATTAAGCTTGTAAAGTCTACGTTTTTATGTAACACTAAACACGTTAAGTATCTACAACTTATTTCAAATATGCAAAATAAAGCATATTCAAAATTGAGATAATTCTTTCCGATGCTATGATTTAAATTTTTACTAGAAATATATTATAATTTGAAACTTGGCCTAACTCTTAATTATAATGATGCTGTTAGGTTTTCTCTAATCTGTCTGATCAAGTTATTATTTTTTTTATTCTTTTGTAATCTGTTATAACATATACAGTTTCAATATAGACTTTTTACATAGGCTTTTTTGTCACTTAAGAAATTCAAACTTCTGAATGAAACTAACTTATTAATTTCCAAACTTTAAATATATTTAGTATTGTACAGTCTTACACGTCAAAAGGATATCATGAGATTCATCAGACTGAATTATTCCTAAAATTAAAATGCATATATTTGCATGTTAATCATGCTGTATTAATAAAATTAAATTCTTTCATTCTATATTTAGTTATCATAACTTAATTGGTAAAAAATTAACAAAATATTATTTTTTCTGATCATAAAAATCTGGCTAATGCTTAATTTGTCTGGAATTATAAAAATACAATTCAAAGATAAATACGTACAATCTAGTTTTTCTTCAGGAGTTCCATTGCTAGTAATACGAACAATTCTTACAAAATCCAAAAAATTGATTAATCCATTCTGAAAATATATAGATATTTTAGTTAATCAGTTTTATAATTCAATATTTATTTTAATCAAAATAATTAAAACTAATTAACCTTGGATTCGCTGAAGACATTAAAAATGTGATCTAATAACTGAAAAGAATCTTCAGTTGGAAAAAATTCGCTAAAAGTAAGCTGAAATTTCTGAAAGAATTAAATTTTTAAATTATATATCAAAGTATAGAACTACGGGATTTCATAGGAAATATTTAAATGTTTTAAAATTAAAATCTCTCTAAAATCTTAATAATTAAAGGAATTTTGAAATTAAATAACTTACGGCTTTTGTCATTCCTCCAGAAGGACACAGTGTCATAAAATCATCGTACCTGCAGAATAATATGTTATATATTTTTAATTATTTTAATAATAGATAATTTAACTTACCATTGTAGCAGTAGTTTCTTATGAACTAGACAAAAAAATTGAAAAATATGCATTAATAATGATTTTTTTCATTTAATATCTTGTAAACTTATGAAATAACACCATACTACATTCGAATTTAAGGTGCATTTTGATTTTCAAAATGGAATTTATAGGAAAAAATTGAATGATAATTATAAGTATCGTTGATAATAATTTGAATAAAAGGATTAATAATATATTTAAAATTAAATAGAATTAATAGAAAATACAAGTAGAATATTATAAAATTTATTTACATAAAGAACTTCAAAGTGTGTCAAAGAATGCCACAAATTTAAAGATACAATCCGCTTTAATTTCGAAAGTATATAAGAAAAAGTGTATCTTAAATTAGATATACTATAGTAATAATGCGGTTTTTAATCTAATAAATAATAATAATAATAAAGTAAATAATAGATATGAAAATGTAAACATTTTGGAAATACTTACAGTGTGTTTGTTTTGCCAAAATATCAAAATTGACAGCATGTTTTGTTTGATTTTCTCCCATTTCTATAGTATAGAAAGCTCTAAGATAACATATAACATTCGAAAAATCTGTTTTTAATTCGAAAAATTTTAAATAAAGTCCCGAAAATCGAAAATACGATGAATAATTTTGAGTTTATATCAAAATGAAATTATCGATTTAAAATATTATTTTTGTAAAATTCTGATTTTCTTTTAGAATTAATAAATTAACACATAAATTTGCACAGACTTTAAAATTTGCACAGAATTTTACTGTTTTAAGACATAATAAAATGACTAATACAATCTTTATACCCTTTATTAACCACAGCCTATATTAGATACACATATTAAAAAATTACAAATTACAAAGCCATAATTTTCTTCTAAAAATAAATCTTCTAGCCAACAATTTCATCGTACATACACTATAAAAATTAAAATATTAAATGTATTTTTTTTATAAGTATATCAAACACGAATTTATATTCCTCTATATTATTTTTAATCATACATTAAAAGTTATATAATTTTTATACTGATACTTACCATACTGTAACTTGAACAACAATCAGGTAGAGCGTTTGGCTTTAATAATTAAAAAACATTGAAATTTTTATTTTAGAAAATGCAAATTTACATCAAATCATATTGTGTGTAAAAGTTTAAGCTAATTTTTACACACTCTAAATAAAATATTAATGGTTTTAAAATTCTCTTACTTGTTTATGCTCTTCGATTAGATCTAAACACATATTTAATTCGTCTCGGCATAGATCCTATTTTAAAAAAGCTCTTTACTACCAGAATATTATTTAAATATTTCTGAATCTGAAGTAAAGCATAAACCAAGATACCCTTATCTCTGGAGGAGGAATTACGTACTCCAATGATTTCGGATTAGTTTTTTCAATAGATCTGCTTGCCTCTTCAGCACCTTTAAAATTAAAATTATTCTTTAAAATCGAATCTCATTTAATAATTTAGTTTTATTAGCCTGAATTAATCGATAAAATTTAGTTTATGCAAATTAAAATACAGTTAAAGACTCTTAAAATAGTTTTTGTGTTTAAATTTTGTTAAGCTGAAGTAAATATAAAATTAACTTCATAAATTAATTTTAAAGAATCATTTTGGAAATTTTGAATGTTTATCTTCGTCATTTTGTCTGTTAGAATTTTTTTTAATTAATATTTAAAAATAAGTATGGAAAATACATTTCTTTATTATAACTCTCAAAAAGTAAAAATATTAAGCACTTTTTAAACCTAAATCTTTTATAATATTTTTTAAAAAAACACTGAATATTCTTGCTATTTTTTGTTATTCTATAATAAAAGTAATAACTTACCTCCGGCTAGGATAATAAAAGAGAAAATGATTAGAAGAGACTTCATTTTTGCACAGTTGGTTTAAGTTATTATTCTCACTATATTCAACACGAAGTAGTAGTCTGTGGAATATATATCTATCCAGCACCGAAGTAGGTATAACATATTGAAAAGACAAAGAAAAAAGTTATCTGGTTGTTTGCTCCCTGCTGAGAGGCCACGTGTTAATGTTCGTTGACCCTTCTAGAAAAGGCAGGTAGATAAATTCTCAGGAATATCATTTGAACATATAATTTTTTTGTTTGTTTGTATTTTTCGTATATTTAAAGCTTATTAAAGTTTATTAATTTCTTGAATGCGATTTGAAAAAGAATTTTTAATACACAATAATTTCTTTAAATTAATCTTAGAATTTTTAAAATTGTTGAATCATTGCTATTGAAGTCAGAAAATTATTAAATAATAAAAATAAGTTATGTATTCGTTCTTAAATAACTGGAACTAAATTTAGAATTAAAATATACAGCAATCCTATACCTATTCTGAATTTAATACTTTAGAAGACTTGTAAAGCTGAAACATTTGGTCTTTTCATTCTGTGAGTACTAAAAAGGGTTCCTGCAATGGGGCAGCCAGATGACGAGAGACGAGATTTTCTTTATTACACACTCAAACCACCCATTAAAATTTTGAAAATCTGACTGGGCTCAAATCCGGCACTCTCAGAACAGTAAAGAGATAACATTAATAGAATTATTTCTTCCTTATATCATGTTGTTGATTGTGATAAACTATTTTAACTTATTTTTTTTCATATTTAGACTTTCCACTGTATGGGGGCTAGTAGAGCCGTTTTACACTTACCGTGATGGATTCCTATTGTAGGCCTGGCTGAGAATAGATGAAGTCCAAAATATTCGAGATAGATCACCCATAAAAAGCTTTTGAGGTTTTTGTCCCGGACTTAATTCGCTACTCCAGAGTGACAGGTTACTATCATTAGTTATTATTTGTAAATGGATCTAGAAACATTAAATTGTGTCGTATAATTAAAACAAGTGATAAATGAACTAACATCTGTTATTGTATTTAAAAATTCTATGAATTGATATAAATTATAATCAAAGCCTTTGTTTATATCGTCAATGAAACATTTCTAGTTCTATTTATGTGAAATCTAGTTCTATTTATGTTTAAGGTCTGTTTAAATTGTAAAATTTAATTATGTAACAGCTGATAGGTTAATTCCCAGTAGGAAAACGTAAAATAATCCAGACTAACATTTTTCACTTGTAACATAAGTAGGCCTATCAATAATATATTTGTGGTGTGGAATAAGTAGAAAAATTTTGAAAATATTATAAACTTGTAAAAATTGAGTATTCGAAATTATTTTTAAAATAAAGAAAAAATTAATTTTTTATGCAAATTATTTTTTATAATATTGTTTTATCTGTTGTGTAATATGTTTAATTTCAAACTATTAGCGCCTCATGTATAATACGATTAAATCTTCTAGCCAACAATTTCATCGTACATACACTATAAAAATTAAAATATTAAATGTATTTTTTTTTATAAGTATATCAAACACGAATTTATATTCCTCTATATTATTTTTAATCATACATTAAAAGTTATATAATTTTTATACTGATACTTACCATACTGTAACTTGAACAACAATCAGGTAGAGCGTTTGGCTTTAATAATTAAAAAACATTGAAATTTTTATTTTAGAAAATGCAAATTTACATCAAATCATATTGTGTGTAAAAGTTTAAGCTAATTTTTACACACTCTAAATAAAATATTAATGGTTTTAAAATTCTCTTACTTGTTTATGCTCTTCGATTAGATCTAAACACATATTTAATTCGTCTCGGCATAGATCCTATTTTAAAAAAGCTCTTTACTACCAGAATATTATTTAAATATTTCTGAATCTGAAGTAAAGCATAAACCAAGATACCCTTATCTCTGGAGGAGGAATTACGTACTCCAATGATTTCGGATTAGTTTTTTCAATAGATCTGCTTGCCTCTTCAGCACCTTTAAAATTAAAATTATTCTTTAAAATCGAATCTCATTTAATAATTTAGTTTTATTAGCCTGAATTAATCGATAAAATTTAGTTTATGCAAATTAAAATACAGTTAAAGACTCTTAAAATAGTTTTTGTGTTTAAATTTTGTTAAGCTGAAGTAAATATAAAATTAACTTCATAAATTAATTTTAAAGAATCATTTTGGAAATTTTGAATGTTTATCTTCATNAAATTCGTAAAATTTTTGTTTATTTTGAACAATCCGGATAATCGAAAATCCGGATAACGGAGGTCCGGATAATTGAGGTTGTACTGTATATATATATATAGAGAGAGAGAGACTATCAGGCTTTCAAACAATAATTTGCCTAATTTTATTCGGTTATAAATCATGAAGAATGATAATGATATTTTACCATGTAGCTACGAATTATAAAAATGTAAGCGGTTAAAACAAAGTGTAAAAACGATAATAAATGCTAAATTATATATTGCCATAATTGGGCTGCAATGTGAAAAAATTGTAGACTATAAAGTTTCACTGTCGTCCGTCTGTCTTTCCTTAATTTCAGGAACAGAATCAGATAGATAAAATCCGATACCAGATATGGAGATCTTACAGGCAGGAGGCGCCTGATTAACTATATAAAACCTCCGATGCAAATTGAAAGTCGTGTTATTTCAATTCAAAACTTTCCCTTGAAAGCAGTTAATAGATGATCGGCCCGACACTATTGTTAAAGGAAGAGTATGATGTATAGCAGTGTTTTTCAACCTTCTTGAATACGCGACCCCTTTACAAGTTAAAAAATTCTGGCGACCCCCAGGTCCATATTTAAACTATATCAGTAATTTTAAAAACTACGTATTTAATTTTCTTTCTTTAAATATCGATCGAAAAACCAATTGTACTGTAAAATAAACAGGCTATTAAAGTTTATTAATTTCTTGAATGCGATTTGAAAAAGAATTTTTAATACACAATAATTTCTTTAAATTAATCTTAGAATTTTTAAAATTGTTGAATCATTGCTATTGAAGTCAGAAAATTATTAAATAATAAAAATAAGTTATGTATTCGTTCTTAAATAACTGGAACTAAATTTAGAATTAAAATATACAGCAATCCTATACCTATTCTGAATTTAATACTTTAGAAGACTTGTAAAGCTGAAACATTTGGTCTTTTCATTCTGTGAGTACTAAAAAGGGTTCCTGCAATGGGGCAGCCAGATGACGAGAGACGAGATTTTCTTTATTACACACTCAAACCACCCATTAAAATTTTGAAAATCTGACTGGGCTCAAATCCGGCACTCTCAGAACAGTAAAGAGATAACATTAATAGAATTATTTCTTCCTTATATCATGTTGTTGATTGTGATAAACTATTTTAACTTATTTTTTTTCATATTTAGACTTTCCACTGTATGGGGGCTAGTAGAGCCGTTTTACACTTACCGTGATGGATTCCTATTGTAGGCCTGGCTGAGAATAGATGAAGTCCAAAATATTCGAGATAGATCACCCATAAAAAGCTTTTGAGGTTTTTGTCCCGGACTTAATTCGCTACTCCAGAGTGACAGGTTACTATCATTAGTTATTATTTGTAAATGGATCTAGAAACATTAAATTGTGTCGTATAATTAAAACAAGTGATAAATGAACTAACATCTGTTATTGTATTTAAAAATTCTATGAATTGATATAAATTATAATCAAAGCCTTTGTTTATATCGTCAATGAAACATTTCTAGTTCTATTTATGTGAAATCTAGTTCTATTTATGTTTAAGGTCTGTTTAAATTGTAAAATTTAATTATGTAACAGCTGATAGGTTAATTCCCAGTAGGAAAACGTAAAATAATCCAGACTAACATTTTTCACTTGTAACATAAGTAGGCCTATCAATAATATATTTGTGGTGTGGAATAAGTAGAAAAATTTTGAAAATATTATAAACTTGTAAAAATTGAGTATTCGAAATTATTTTTAAAATAAAGAAAAAATTAATTTTTTATGCAAATTATTTTTTATAATATTGTTTTATCTGTTGTGTAATATGTTTAATTTCAAACTATTAGCGCCTCATGTATAATACGATTAATTTTCTAGTATCAAAAATAAACATCGGATGTCATTATCAAGTTATAAGAATAAATTACTGTAATCATAATTTTAAAATAAATGACCATATATATATATATATATATATATATCAGTGGATGTTCGAGTTTACTCTTCTTTTTGTGGTATATTTGTTGTGAAATCCATCAATAGGCATTAAGGCTGTGTACAAATTAGGCGTTTTCAAACGTGCGTTTTGGTAACGTGCATTTTAAAAAAACAGGAGTTCCACATACATATACACACTCAAATGGGCGTTGATAGATTTTGGTTAGAACATGCGTTTTGCGGGCATCAGCCACACACTTTGAGATACATGTGCTGCCATGTTGTTGTACATTCGATTGTGCGCTTTCGGGTAAAGTAGACACACATTGGCCGAAATGGAGAACGATCATTTCGATACTGATCTAGTTATTGATGAAATCTAAAAGAGACCAGCCACCGTCAAATGATTTTATAGATATTCTAAAAGAATTAAAAAAACTTGAGTTCATATTGTCTTAGTTTTGGATACAACGTCACAAACATTCCATGCATCAGTCTATCTCATAATATTGGGTGCTTCCANCCGGGCGTGTACTAGAAACTAGAGTTAAAGAACACGAAGCAGCCATTCGGCTTAAGTATAATAATTCTCCGTGGTTTAACCACATCAATAGTAATAATTGTAATATTAATAGAAACAATGTAAAAATTTTACATATTGAAAAAGATATTTATAAAAGAAAATTCAAAGAACATATAGAAATTAGAAAACAAAATAATAATAATTTAATAAATCAGTCGAAAGGGATGGAAATAAATTATAGCTGGTATAATCTGATAGATGGCGCTAGAATAAAATAAAAAATAAATGGTTATGTATTAAGACGTCATCACTTGATTACCGTTGTAAAGTGTTGATGGTCTACTGAGTGACGTTGTAAAGTGTTGATGGTATGAGGTTAAAAATTTGTAGTGCTTTGGAATTATCTTTACAATTGTTTGTCAATGAATTTTTAATAATTAGTTGGTTTTAGTATGTTTATTATACACGTATGTGGAAAAGATTTTTAAACTTGATTCTTACAAATGTGTACAAAGTTTACCATCCCTACCCATGGAAATATCATTGTAATTACCACCAGCGGTTATTCACTGAAGAGGGACTGGAAAATATTAGACCAGCCCGAAATGCATTTGATGTAGTCTTTATAAAATAAATTTAATTTGCCAATAAGATTGCTGTGAGATTTGTCTACCAAGAATATTTTTGGATTACAGACGCTAAATTCGTCATATTAACTAATATACAGCAAACCGTTTATATCTAGTTTTTTTTATTGTAGTGTAGGACCTACAAATACTTATCTTTTTCTTTCACCCGCGACCCCCTGGGGATCGCGACCCACAGGTTGAAAAACACTGATGTATAGGGCAGACACTACTAATTTGAGGAGAGTATATACTTTAAATTAAATAAATTAAAACTATGATTAAAAATTGCAACCTCGTTTACTACTAATAATCTCTATAAATCTAATAATAATAGCGAGGTTGCGACCGAAGTCTTCATCTCTAAAACGTAAGCGGCGTCGACGTTCGACGTTTACGTTTTAGAGATGAAAACTTCGGTCGCAACCCCGCTAATAACTCGAATAATCGCTCGTTTACTACTAGCACAGTTTTCTGTTTATTATTCATCTGTGACAAATGGTATTAAATCTAGAGATCCAGCTCCACAAGGTTTGTTGCTTCCGTACCAGGGCTGTGGAGTCGCGTAAAAATCTACCGACTCCGACTCCGACCAGGGGCGGATTTGTTACCGAAAGAGACCCGGAAATTCTGATGTCATCACGTGACCTCAGAATAAAAGATTCAATAAATAGAGTTCTAATAAAGATAGAGCATAGAAACTTTTTATTCCAAAGCTAAAAGACTTCTCTAAGTAATATATAAACATGTATTCGATAATTTTTACTTTTCCGGCTGTTATATATAACAAAGGAAATGTGTAGCGCTCGGTCAAAAAATGACCCCTCCCAAATTTTTACATTTTTGGACTCAGGACACCGTAAAATTTCAAGATATGCAAAAGATTCGAGGTTTTTTCTATATGTGT